AAGATTGCAGCGTTTTTAGAACATTAATGGGTCACTTTTTTTTATAAAACGCTAATTACCAAGAATATTTTCGAATTATCGAGATACTTTTACGTCCAGGAAAGCTTGCTCCGATTGGCCAATTAACGACCTTGATTGATGGCCTTAGGTCCGTCAACCAAGACCAGAATAAGTATCTTGATCATTTATCAGACACTAAAAAATAAATTCAATATAAACTTATAAATAATTGTATATTTTTAGATAAATTAAAGGGCGGAAAACTGGATTTTACACGGCCTACTTCTAAAACATGTCGGCCTTTTTTAAATATTGGCGTTTTATGAGGTTTTATCACTAAGTAGAGAATCTTTTAACAATTCCGCCTCCAAAGACTAATAGTTCTCAAAACTCTTTGCCTACTTAACAACGCTCACTCCGTGAACAATCCCCAGGGAACTATCAGAGTTATTTGCTTTTGTCGCCGCTATTCTATATTTCAAAAAATGACAAGTCCATCTGAAGCCTAGTAACCTTGGTACCCACTTAGACATCAAAACTTCAATGACTTTTTGAATTAACGTTATCCTCAAAAACAGGTTTACTTAAACCTCTTCTAACTCCATTCTTAGCCTGCCACCTATATTTCCAAGTGCTAGGCCGTTATTTTAAACCTTCTCAAGCCTAATAATCATCGTTGCCTGAATAAACTAAAGGGAATTCATCAGGGCTAATTATTTTGGCTATCTCGCTATACCTTGTGTGAGAAGGTTAGCATTTACCATCAGTCGGAGACCATTATCCAGCATTGCTAAATGGACGGGAGTTCACCATGACGTGATTCTGACGTATTATGAAGCTTTTAAGCATATTACTACCATTGGTACTTAAGCCATGTTAGGTAGACAGCTCGCCAACAACGATATATAGCTTCCTTGATGAGCTACAACTTCTCAAAACCAGATATAACCGTGCGTTGAAGATAGCTTTTGATTTTATCATCGAAGGTTATTGATCACAAAGGTAATACCGACTTTTATCACTCATGGGAAATGGTTTAACTTAAATGTGTGTAGTAATTAATGATGTATTTTTTTTGTAAAACACAAACATTCAGTTAGAGAACAGCAGCAATCAGGTGATAGCATTCATGTTTTGAATTCAGACGCAGAAATTCTTAAGAAAAAGAGTTTCTTTGTAAAGAGATGGCGCAAAATGGTCGTTAAATTCTCGAGACAATTGACTTGGACTCAAAAATGGTGCGAACAAATTTCGAGATTCTATCGAGTACCAAAAAAAAATCAATTTCACGTTTTTAAAAATGTATGGAAAACCAAATTTACATAGTACCTAGAAAAATAGGAATTTGTAATATCTTTTCGTGGTGAACTTAACATAGTTACTACATTCAGTTATTCATTATTAAATGTTAAATAAATTTGTCATTAAGGTTTTTAACTCTTGGAAATCCTTTCTGACAAAGATAAACAAGTCCTGATCAAGGTTATCCATAGTTAATAGAGAGGAACTCTCTCTTAACTATGGGCTATTAGGACGCCGTCAAAGGAAAATATTATTTCAGTGACGAAGGAAGCACTAACAGACCAAAAAGACACGAAAGGACTATTGTGTAGTATAGCACTTTCGAAAAATCTGATTTTTTATCATAATTTTATTATATTATTTGGTTTGGTTTGGTTTTGGTTTTGGTTCGACTCCAGTCGCGTTTCGCGTAAGTTTGAGCATTTTGCAGTGCGCTCAATTTTCATCACAATTCCTGAGCATAAAGAGAGCGGTCTACTGGGACAAGTCAGTACCTGAAAAAACGGGTTACTTTGGTAAATGGTTAACGTTTTCATCTATTCATTTGAGAAAGAAAATTCAAGTTAACCAACTTTAATCATTAATCAAAAATTAATGAACTTTTTCCGTAAATTTTACATTTCAACTGATCATAAATCTACTTTCCAGTAATTAAAGTAATTTTCTAGAAGAATAATTACGAGCAAACATAAATCACAAAAAATAACCCTTTTTTGCTATTAACAGGAACATTCAGAAGTCTCCACAATACTTTATTTTCCAACATTTCTACAATAACCTGTAACTACCTGAATTCTCCTAAGTCGGTGTTCAAAATGTCTCCAAGAAAGAAACGATATCTGTCTGAAAAATAGCAGACTTAACTGAAAATGTAACATAGCGAGTGCTGTCCACAACTGGAATACTTCTCTCTGTTATGGCCGATTTAGACGGTACAACTTTTCCCTACAACTACTGTATGCAACATCCGTAAGTCATCCTTACAACATGGCTACAACTGTCGTAGAGATTAAAAACAATTGTTTGACAACCCTACGACAGTGGTAGCCATGTTGTAAGGATGACTTGCGCATGTTGCATGCGATAGTTGTAGGCAAAAGTTAGCCCTTGAATCGGAAATCCAGACAATTGGGATCTAGGAGAATTAGGGCAATGAAAACGGAATTTGATAAAAAAAGAAAATTCCGGAAACTAAGCAAATGACGTCAAATGTTTTTGAACTTGTAATCTGTAAACAAATAGGACGGATATATTTTTTTAATGGGCCGGGATTCCTGTGTTGACCAGCATTTTTTTCAAGAAGGTTTTATACTGACAACCTCTGAATAAAATGACAACGTTTTGAACTTTGATTCACTTGTTAGAGTGAAGTAAAAAAAGAGATAATAGCGCTTCCCATATCAAACTTTGCTACACTAAAGTTGCATACCGTATTTACTCGAATAGACGCCTCCCCCGAATAGACGCCGCCCTCAAATAGACGCCGCACTTAAAGCTCAAAATATTAATAGACGCCGCCCCCGGATAGACGCCGCATCTGGGTGCGAAAATAATGATACCAGCAATTTTTTTATTTCGAAGTGACTACTTTTTTTGCTCTCAGCAGCTGATAGATTCCGACCACGAGGAGGACATTATCACAAATTGAATCGACAAAATGAGCACGACATTTATATATTGAGAATCGTTACTGTTTGTTACTAAAAATATACAATCAATAAAGTACGGTATTTAGTACTGAATAAAGTGTTTTTCAATAAACGCCGCCCCCGAATAGACGCCGGCCTCGAATAAACGCCGCACCTGGACCGTGAAAAAGGAAATAAACGCCGCGGCGTCTATTCGAGTAAATACGGTATTTTTCCGGTTCATTCACAAGGATTGTCGGTGATAGACCTGAATTTTCAAGTCGTTGCTAAAATGTGTAGAGTTCCTTATTGTTATGACGGCCAGATCAAACTGGAATAGAACGAAAGATCACATTAAAAATGATCGTAGGAATATATTTAAGGTGAAGTACCCTTACTATAAGTCTAAAACGTACACAATAAACAATAAATTCAAACAGCGAAAACTAGTTTCGTTCAAAAACCTCTTCAGTTCACTAATGGTAAATTTTCAAAATGATAGATTAATTGTCAGCGATCTCAGCCTTTTAAAGTTTCCAAAGAAATTTGCGATGCCGGACAATGCGGTACATGTCCGGAATTTGAGCCTTTCACTGGGCATCCTATACATTTCGTTAAGACTGATCTGGCATAATTGAATAGGTGTAAATCTCTTGTCTGCTAGCTTATGTATGGTGTCTTTCCTTTCGGGGTACTATATACGCAGTTTCATACGGTACTGCAGTGATGCCGCAGCTTCAGTGAATAGTATTAACAATAGTATGTGTTTGCACGGCTATATGGCTTGTTACTTATTTAGTATAAAGTATTCGTATTTTTCAGTGTTGCTGTACTTTATAGAAAAAAATCCACCTATCAAGATTCTTATCAAATGTTTTAAACAAACTACATTTTCAAAATAAACCTTATTTGTCGCTTTAAATTAACGATATCCATTCAGTTATATCGCGAGTAGAAACATTTCCAGTCCTCAAGAGACTCTGACAAAGTGAATTATTTCGATAAACTTTTAATATACCTTGCGTTTTGCTATGTGGGATTCTAAGTTTAGTTCCATAACAAGGAAAGTATTTAAAAATAGTTATTACTTCACGAAATGAAAAAAAATATTTTTTGAGTCTTTTCACAGTCAACAAGAAGTCATTCAAAGTTTGTAATGGAGTAGAGTTCACTTGTTTGCGCATTCTCACTTATGCGAGTCGAAGTCGATGTCTTCTATTTAATTCTTCTTCTTCTTCTTCTTCTTCTTCTTCTTCTTCTTCTTCTTCTTCTTCTTCTTCTTCTTCTTCTTCTTCTTCTTCTTCTTCTTCTTCTTCTTCTTCTTCTTCTTCTTCTTCTTCTTCTTCCAAACTGAGCATCTGTTCCTAAGATTTTGAAGACTTTGTATTTTTAGAGCATGCTCAGTAATGAGTTAGATGGTTTCAATTATCCTGAAATAGCTGCTTTATCTAAATATCTTTTAGTTAATTTACATCGTATAAGAACTGTCTGGACAAAAATAACCTACGAAGCATTATTTAGGATAGATAATATATTTTGTTTTAATAAAATTAAAAGGATGTACAAATCCTAAATAAATCTCTTTTCCACTTGAAAAGACTTCCGTGTAGAATATGCCAAAATCCAGGAACACTTTCATTTCTAGTCATTAATTACAGAAACGAGAGAGCCTTTCATCTTAATGAGCTTGCATTGACTAAATAGCGTCTTCCAATTGGTCAACTCTAGCATGACGTCACGTTCTTCATTTCCAGATAGAACTTAAATTGATCTGGTAAAGGTTTTCGGTAGCCTTCTAAATAAACAAGTCAGGATATTCACTAAGTTTTCGGCGTTCTTTGTCTTGTTTATCATAACATTGATTGGATGATTGGAGTTTTAATTCTGTAACGTGTTCTGATTTCTATTGAGAAATGTAATTATTTTCCCCAAAAAATTATTATATAGATTTATTAGGAAATGTTGTATGCACGTGTATAATGATTGTATTTGAACTGTACATTTGGTCTTTGAATCTACAAAGTAAACAGAAAACTATTTTTTGATGGGTTGAATTTGTATTGTCGACAGTTCAAGACAGCTGAACTACAATCAAGATAGTATTGACCATTGAAGCAGCGAAGACTTTCAACAGGTAAGAATTCATTCACATTTTTATCCTGGCTTGATTTTTTGAGGTAAAAAAATGGACTCATTTGTGACCAAATGAGAACTTCTGATCTCCGGGATTTTTGGCAATTTGTCGAAAATGTAATTATCAACCAAAACAGCGTGTACTTTATGCTAATGCCGGCTGATTGGATTAGTAGAGCTTCCCCCGTTGGATTAACGACGTACAACAAATTGAAATTGCTATTTTACTGATGACAAATTGAAATGCATTTTGAATTTTCTAGTCAATTTTGCTTTGTTAATGCTATCGAAGATATCTTATAGTATTTTTACAACTATATGTGAATGTTTGTATTCTTCATGAGCTGGTGTAAAGGTTTTTTGTTCACAATCACTATATAAGAAAGAGGGAAGGATTTTCAGGTTTACAAGCTAGACGAGAACAAAAGCGAAGCGTCTTTCCTATGGCGACGTGAGGCATTAACAGAGAACCGGTTGACAGCGATTAATTAAAGCAAACTCCTAAACATATAAATAAAAGCAGTTGTATTTAAAAAACAAACTCAATTTCTACTTATCCAAAAATTAAACAGAAATCTTCTACGACTTAAAAAATATCATTTCTACGACTTCAGAGATAGATTTTAGGCGTTCATTGAGGAAAGTTTAAAATTCCGTAATCGAAATTAAGGTGGGTTTGTCCGAAAATGAAATTACTATGATAAAAGGATTTGTCAGTGGGATGTATCGTTCTTAGCATGAGACAATCTTGTTTCAATAGAAAGTCACATTTCCATATAAACAAATGAGTAAAAAAACAGGAAAAGAACATGTCTACAGTAATATCGTGCCTTGTGTTTTCAATTCAAATTATGACAAATTGAGAGTTCATTGGACAGTGGTATAATTACAGCGCATATTGCCACTTTTTGTCGACTTGAGTCCAAGCATATAAAACAGCTGTCTTAAGCTCAAAAGCTGCTTAATAGAAAGACCTTGTCCTATATTGGCAAACTCAGTAGGAATTGAGGTTATTCGACAGCTAAAATAGATACTTCAAACCTCGGAAATTTGATCATTCCTGGCTGGATGCTTCTGTCTTCAAACTCTCATTTTGTCTGAGACAACATTGATCAATTGAGCTTCAAGGTGAGCAATGCCTCGAGTTATAAGAATACTTTAGGAGTGTTTTCACACAAATATATAGAAGAAACGGTATTTCTAAATCTAAAAACAACTTGTAATGAATTTTAAGACCCAAATCTCAAATTATTCAGGGCAAATTTTGAGGAAACATCAATTTTCATATTCTTTTAATATTCAAGTAGTTGGATTCAGGAAGTCTCAAAAATTATATTCTTTTTTCTGTATGTACTTCCTTGAATGTGTGTTCCTTTGCCGTTTATTTCCTTCAATATCCTTTTCTTGTTCTCTTTAAGTTTTCTTCTTTTTAGCCTTAAATTTCCATTTTACTTCTTTTTGAATATCATTTAGATACATTCCCGTTAAATTAGCAATCTTTAAACTCACAAATGATTTTAAGAATATCTTTTTTTACATACATCTTAAAAGCCATCATTTTGGAAAGCTCAGATGCGATTTTGAGTAAAAGTCAAGTGAGCACATGTAGCTAAAATGCCTTCACTTAAACTTTGACACTTAATAAATATATGAACCATCTCAACAGAAAAGACAATTGAAGGCTTTACTTTAGGCGGAGATAGAAAGCTATTTTGATCAAGAAATGGTATTTTGGCATGTAAAGTTAAAAGGAGTCTTCAAATTTTGATTGACAAGCGTTTGACTGGCTTCCTTTTGTTTTCTGTCCAATGAATTGATGATAATAATAATGCTATTTACACGAAAATGTTTCCCTAATAAAAAAGGACAATAAGATATATAGCAAAAACATCACATTATTACATAGAATTTAATATCCTGTGCAAGCCTATAAAGTGGAAAACTAACTACTGCATAAACAGGTCAGTTTTGATAAGCGGATCCTTGAGCCTTCATGTCGGCTGTCACCTTACGCGCCTCTTCTTGAAATAGTCATTTTATATATAGATATTATTTGATACAAAATATCTCATTTCATACGTGCAGCAAAAATGTAATATCGCTTCGAGTGTTACAGCGCATTAGAATATCTTAAGGTAATTGTGTTTACTTCGCCCGCCTTGTTTAGTATGAAATATATTTTATATTCAATGCACGAATTGAAACTACGGCACTCCGACCCCCGGGAGAGACCGGGGAATTTCTATGTCAAAGTCGGGGGATTAAGTCTGTTTAAAGGAGAAATTGGGAGAATTATCGTGCAAAGAAAAGAAAAATACCTTTCTCTAAGAGAGTGGAAATACCCGTCACTTGAAAACGTAATACGTATTAATATGTGTTCCACGGTGACAACTTTTAAGCCATCTTCAATTCAATATTTTCGAATTTCACTCATGAAGAATGATTAATCACAAATATCTTCATTGAAGGTTGAACAATCTAGCTGGAGAAAAAATTCTTATAGGAGCTACATCGTATATATATAGATTGAAGAACAAATTGAACGTTTTACATGACGAAGAAACGTAATGTATATGTGTAGTGATTTATAGACGAATCAAGTCGACATTAAAGCCGAGAAAAACTACAACAAAAATACTCTTATCTTGGTAACAATATTTCATATAATTATCTATGAAATGCCTATATTTCTCCATTTCGTAAAGTTGTTATATTCACTAGTGAAAATAACACATTCGAGGTTTCTCTATATAGTGGAAGTAAGAAAAAAGGTATTTTACGACATCACTATGCTCACTCGTGAGAGATCTTCTCAACCTTCGAAGATAAAATCTGCGCGCCCATGTAATATCCTCTATTAATCTTGATGATAAATAATTCAAGAACATTTATAATATCAGTATATCAGATGATCAGATACAGAATATAATGTTATAATTTTAATTTTAATTTTACATAAAAATGTTAGTAATGGTATTATAGTGTTATTACTGTAACAGTAATTTGCAAAAATTCTGAACGCTAACCAGTAACGGTTGTATCATTTGTAATTTCCGTGTAATTTCACTCGACCTTTTCTCGCTAAATAAGATTTTAGATCCATCAAATTCTTTGCAAGTATGCTAAATTAGAGTATTCAAACTTATTCTCCAGACGCTATGAGGCGATGGTATTAAAAATATATAAGCTACCCCACGTATTGATATATCTATCTGATATGTTAACACTCAATTTACTGATATGATTATTATCGATATCATATTGAACTAGTCTCGATCATGGCTCGAGTAACGGTCAGTGTAAGATCAGGTTTATGCTACTGTTAGTCTGATTCGCAGACACTCCGCCCTTTGGACAGCGGAGGACGCCAATGTGGTTCTGAGTGTGGTCTACTTTGTCGGGTTTCAAACCGTGGGGGACTGGGCAAAATCCTCTAATAGCCGACTTGCGAATTACGCATCAATAGTCACATACAAAGGAATCAAGACGAGGCGCCGCGCTAAAGACAATAGATTTTTCACAAAAAAGCACGGCGCCTCGTCTTGATTCCTTTGTATGTGACTATTGATGCGTAATTCGCAAGTCGGCTATTGGATAATCATGAGATAAGACTCACATAGGATGAAAGACCTTGTTGAGAAATGCAAAATAACAAACTTTTGGTGTCAATCAGTTCAATAGTGAACGAGTTACATCCTTTCAAGTATTCTAAAACTTCGAAAAATGTAAAATGCGGACAAATTCTTTGGAAATTTTAGAATATTTGAAGGGCTGTAACTCGTAACTTGTTTACAGCAGATTTTGAGATTCTGTATTTCTCAACAAGGGCTTTCTTTCTAAATCTTATCTTATGATTATCCAATTAGGGGGATTTTCCCCAGTCCCTTACGGTTTGAAATCCGTCAATGGGTATGTTTACAAAGTTCGTTTGACGACTTTCGAAGTCTAAATGATATAAACAGTCCCCCAGGATGAGAATAGGCAAAAAGGTGGTGCCAGTATCAAATGCCAAGAAACGATCACGTATACGAACTAAATTGATCACCAAAATGGAGTCAAGACTTTATAAAGGAACGATAAAACGCTATATTGGTGGATGTTGTGGTCGAAAAAAAAGCTTTTTATATTATTTATTATATTGATCAAGTTGAAGTTCCAAGATGGAATCAACAGTCTCTTGATACATGGGACCATATCTGTAGAAAACTCGACATTTATCAGGCATGATAGTGGATTTTAGACATATTTACTACAATATATCTTCTTTGTTATCTTCTCATATCGATCATATAATAGACTGAGGGTAGAACATTTAGAGAACGTTTGGATATAGTTGACAATCTGAATGACATGTTGCACGATTTTTCCTTATCAAATAGATTAAAATAAAAAAAATGAGATATTAATGTCAGTTTTAAAAAAGTTTTCGTATTGAAGAGTGGTAGGCGGATGGTAGTTTATTCTTCAATAGTTTTCTTAACATGACGAATTCTTCGTTTTCAGGTTACGTCACAGCGGCCATCTTGGAGGAACTTCAACAAAGGATTTCTCATTAGTATTATTGTTCATTCCTCCAACATGGCCGCCGATCTTTTATCTCTTGAATCTCATGGAAATGGTTGAAAACGATCAATACAGCTATTTCGTAATAAAGTTTGTTGTTAGAGAGAGAGTGACGAATGTGCGACCGAAAGTGTATATTGGTATAAGAGGAAATTCGAATCCATCTGCTCAGTGAAAAATCACTATGAAAAAACTGAAAAAAAATCATAAATAGCTCAATACCGGTACCCATAGAAATTCTTCATTTCTACAATACCTTTGATCGAAAGATCTTTCATACCCCATGAGCAAATTCACTGCAATGGTTCGAAGGGATCCCTGTGGTATGAAGCTATTTTAAGTCAAAGATCAGGCCTCTAAGTAATTGCAAAAGTTGGAAATATCTACCCCAATATAATGACTATAAGGTCTCGATATTTTAAAATTTTCCGACAAATT